TGTTCAGTGCACAAACACTGAATATAATAAGGACATAAATCAGTAAAGGCATTTATGCATTAATGGTTCACAGATTACAGTAAATGCACTGGTGAACATCCAAGAGGACTGGAGCCGAGAGAGAGAGAGAAAGCACACAGGAATAAGAAGGGAAAATGGGGATATGGGAATAAACAAGGTGCGTTCCCCTCTGCTCATCCACGCATCCCTGTCACACTTACCCTTCATCCCTGCTTCTCCCTCTCTTTGCTCCTGGTTGTTCATACTAAAAGGCTGCAGTGTGTGGGTGTGTGTTGAGAGGCTGGTCACATCCCTGCGTCTCCTGCCATTTTCACTCCCGTTGCTGAATTACCCCTGATTACCTTTAGCTAATTATCATCAGATCTTAGAGAGCGAAATACACACATGCACATGCACATGCACATGCACACGCACACACATATTGCTATTCAGCGTTGCAGAGCCACTGGCAGTTAAAGATCTGAGACATCACCGGACTGCAAGAAAAAAAAGAACGGTACCTAGGCACCTCATCAAGGTGTTTGTACTTCACTGTCAAAACTCTAGCAATTATATATATATTTTTTTCTTTCTTCACTGAATAGTAGGTAATTACAACAAGTAGACTGAGCAATAGTGTTGCTTTCGTCAACGAAAATTATGACTAAATATCGTCGTCAACGAACCTTTATCACGTGACGAAAATGAGACGAGACGCAACGTAAATGCTGGTCATGTGACGATGACTATAATTAAATGTATAATGCAATATTGTTGACAAATAAAAACGAGACTAAATGTGGTTTACAAAATAAAAACTATGCTAAAATGTCTCTTCATTTTCGTTGACCAAAACGAGACGAAACGAAATGTTATAACGTTATTTCGTCTCGTTTAGTCGTGTTATTATTATTATTTTGCAGTATTTCTGTTTCCTGTGTCTCACTTCAGGGGTTGCATCAGGTCGCACTGCGCAGACGCAGGCAACGTCACTTCCTCAAGCCCCACTCGCGGCATTATTTAGAACAGTGTTTCCCAACCGGGGTGCTGTCTGTCGAGAGCAGGGGTGCCGTGTAAAAAAAAATCCTTTTTTAATATTTTTAAATTGCTAAAATGTTCAAAAAAAACATCTATTATATAATATCAATTTCTGATGTCGCCAATAATTAGAGATACACAGAAATTTCGGCTGCCGAAAAA